CCTTCTGTACAAATTTTCCACAAAGATGTGTTTTGCACTGTGAATTGATCTCTCCATCATTCGGACTGGAGAAGTCTACAAAACAAAACTTGACAGTGTACATTTTTCAGCATGTTTGTTATCTTTTCAGACTCACACTGCACATTATATGAAACATATATGATTTTCAGATCTTTCTTTCAGATTTTGTGACAAACTTACTGGGAGGGTGGGAACCACTAAAAAACCAAGGATTCCTGATCTTATTTATGGTCACTGCATTATTAAACAGCTACATAACTAATTTGTTATTCATACACAATTTTCAGCATTTGGTTCATTTGAATGATTTTTTTCTGCAACAGAACAGGATTTCTACTGTCTTGGAAAAACAACTCTTCAAAAACCTAGTGTTAGTATCACTCACAAGTGGTACTGCTGAAAAGTTTGCCCCGACACAAACCCAGAAAATAAAACTTAACAACAATCACTAAGATATAAGCATGGCATCTAAGATTAGATCTTGTAATCAGGGAATGGAAGACAGCATGGAATGCAAGAAGGCAAGAGAATAAACAAATCTTGGTAAAAATGTAGAGCATAAAAAATCAGTATAGAGAAAGAAAATATTACAAGAAAAAAAGGATGTAAACCATCTGAAAACAAAGGGGTAGAAAACGTCAGAAGCACTTGGAATAAACACAAGAAGCAAGGGCTAAATGAATTCTAACACGAGATTATTTAATGTTTGCCAAAGATCTGAAATAGCAAAATTGCAGACAAGGCACTGAGGTGAGATGAGGAAGATTCCAGCTCCTCGGGCTGGTGCCAAACCAGCAGCATCAGTCTGGGGAAGTCAAAGTTCTGAGCAGGCAGGAGGCAGATGTTTTGCCCCCAGAGCACACGTCTTTGTACCCCAAAAATTCCTCCTCAGTGCAGGAACAAAGAATGAACACAAACAGATCCTAACTTTTGAAAACAAGGTTAAAAGCATTTTGCACTCATAACCATATCTAATTCTTTCTTAAATTAGAAAAGAAATGTCTCTTTACCATTGGTCTGGTGTGCTGCTCCAGCATGGTCAGCTGGACATAAGTCTGTAACGTTATCCCCCATCTGGAAGCATCTTGGTACATTAAACCCTGGGGTCAGGGATGGAAGGAAGACACAGACATTTGTCAGGTCAGAGAGCCAAACAGGGAAGGTGGTATTTTGTGAGCTCTTGCAGTACAACAGCATTGCTACAAGAAGGGCACTTACACAGCAAACACCAGGTTTGACAACAATTAAGGGATCATTTGCTCTGCACAATGCAGGTGTAAGAATTATGGCTCTGGTCCTAAGTGGAAGGCTCACTGAAGTCAGCAGGAATTAAGTACTCTGCACATGGGACAGTCAGAACCAAGGCACAGCTCATGTGAGACAGTTCAAATACATTTAGTAATTAAAAAAACATATCTACTACTTTATTTCTGTGCACTGACAGACTGTCAGTACACCCAGTCCAGCCAGAAATCATATATGGTCCAGTAAGTATGGTCTGGGCCTCAGAAAAGGTGTCCTTGAACATACACAACTGTTCTTCCTACAGGATCCTCAAAGCAGGTCTCAGGTAGCTCCTCCACTCTGATTGCTGCAATTCCACACACATACTCACTGGCAACACTATACTGCAAAGCACAGAAAAGATCTTACTCAAAATAAGACATCATTCAGTGTCTATTGGGTGAGGTGACAAGTTTTAAGGCAGCAGCACAGCTTGAGCCCACAGATCTGACCTCCTCCTTCTCTCCCTGCCCAACATCACACTTTCTCAGTGTTCCAAAACACACAGACTGCTGTGCTGATGCCAAGCACGCCCCACCCCTCTACTAACAATAAGAAAGTAAGGTATCAGTAACTCCTAGGAGGGAGAATTTACTTTGCCAGAGGACCTATGGTAGTACTGATGGTATCACACACACATTTGGCTTTGTATGTGCTTTGAGGTGTGTCCACACCCCTGTGATGGCATCCAATTCCACCAGCCTGAGCACAGCTCTGTCCTCAGCCAGCAGTGAGGTTTCTGCAGGGCAGGGGATCCCCAAGCAGAACTGACATCAGGAACCAGTTCCAGCAGCCCAGCAAAGCCAGTGTGCAGTGCAGGCAGAGCCCTGGCTGCTGCCTCCAAGCACACCTCGGATCCAGGGACGTCCTAGTAGGGAACAGTTCCAAGGAGCCATGGCTACCCAAAAAAAACCCCTCAACACCTCAACTGGGTTGAGTTTTCCTTATCTTCAGCAGTCACAGAATCATAGAATGTTAAGCAATTGGAACAGATCCTAAAGCTCATCTAGTCCCATCCCCCCTGCTGTGGGTAGGGACACCTTCCACCATCCCAGGTTGCCCAAGCCCCAGCCGACCTGGCCTTGGACACTTGCAGGGATGGGGCAGCCACAGCTTCTCTGGGCAACCTGGGCCAGGGCCTCCCCACCCTCACAGGGAACAATTTCTTCACAATATCCCATTTTACCCTACTCTCTGTCAGTGGGAAGCCATTCCCCCTGTCCTGTCACTGCAGTTCCTGATGAACAGTCCCTCTCCAGCTTCCCTGCGGGCCCCTTCAGGCCCTGGAAGGTGCTGTGAGGTCTGCACACAACCTTCTCCTCTCCAGGCTGAAGAGCCCCAGCTCTCCCCTCCTGTCTCCACAGGGGAGATGCTCCAGTCCCTTTATCAACTTTGTAGCCTCCTCTGGACTTGCTCCAACAGTTCCGTGTCCTTCTTATCTTGGGACACCACAACTGTGCAGAGTGTTGCTGTCAAACAACATTAACTGACCAGATCCACCCCTCACTTTGAGGGATTCTTTGAAACAGGCATAAGTAGATTTAGAAACAACTGTCACACTCAGGGCTTACCTTTATGGGAATTTCTTTAGCTCATACCATGTAAGAAACCCCTTACCAAAACCACATTTTATAGGCAATGTTTCTATTATGTCCTAATCATAGTAAAAAACCTTTTGCTTCATGAAGCTTTATTTTTTGCTGTGTGAGATTCTGACCACAACTTTCCCAACAGTTTTGCTGGTTGGTAAGAAGTTGTCACGTGGGTACTTCTAAAAGAACAGTCACTGTAATTGCAGAAATCATTTCTGTCACTTACCAGGATATTATGACCACGAACGTTCCTCCACTTCATCAAAGGTTCTTTCAAAACCTTGTTAAAAAGAACTCCATGTTAACTCCATGTTAAACATGTTTTAGATGCAAAACACTTTATGTGACTCTACAAGTCTGCAACTATTTTTAAGGATTACTCATTCAGTAAGTCAGAGTATTCACGACTTGTATTGGAAAGCTCACCCCTCTTAAAAAAACAGCACTGAATCCTGAACACAAAAAGTAATAGCAAAAACTCTAAAAATAGAAAAATATCAACATATAACACCATCTTAGAATTTTTAAACTACCAAAGTAAAACACCTAATGGGCCTGGATAGAATTTCTTTTTTTTTTGAGTCAAAATCACTCCCACAGAAGGGAAAGTACTGCTTAGCAGAGTCCTGATTCCATTTAATGACCTGCCAATTGCCTCACAAATTCATGTCAGAGAAAGCAACACTTGGCAGAAAGAGGATCAGACTGCTATCATATTAGTTTTAATTCTATTTTTTTGTTTTAACAAACAAAATGTATTCAAAACCTTTACAAAATTAATCAGAAAACCTTCTACCCTGAATAGGTAAAATGACAAGACTTACCTGGTTCAAACAGGGTCTAAAACTCCAACCACAAAGCCAGGCCTAAGAGAGTTAACTAGCTACTTAAAAAATGTTGCACTATATGCAAATTAAAGTCTGCTATCTCTTGGGTTAACAGTTAATTACTCCATAAGGATCATTTCTGTTAAATTACCAAATAACATCTGGCAATCCAGCATTTCCATGGGGACTCCTAAAACTTACTATCAAATGTATTGCCAGCTCTGCTGGGAAAAGCATTAATATCTGTTGTACACAAAACCAATTGTTCACTTTGTACACAACAACTGTTCACTTTGTACACAGCAACAATTGTTCACTGAGGTTTGATCTTGATTTTGTTTAAAAATACAATAAGCCTGCCCTTCCCTCAATCTTGTTCTAAACAACATGAAATCAAATCTCAAATCAGTCTACAAAATCTTCAGGAACAGTTTTAACAGATTTTCCATTTTTCAAAAAAGCCATATATTCACTAGAATCTCAAGTGTGTGACATCAGTATTTTTACATCATTACAACTTCACTTTGCTTATTACAAGACACACCTAAGATTTCAGTGACAAGAAATGGCAAACAGGCATGTTCAAACATGCCCAACCCCTGTGGGTTGCTGTTACTTTGCAGAGGTACAGACTGCAATCCACAGGTCTTACTGATCTTTTGGCACCTCGTACTTTATTACTTTCTTTTCTGCAATCTGAGTATAAAAATTTGGGAGATGGGGAGGTACCTCAGCAAGCCCCTGGCTCACAACCTGCTGCTCCATTCTGTGTGCCTGAGGAGAACATTTCCAAACTGTCAGTTCTGTCAGGACAAGCAATTGCTGAATGTTGGAAATAAAGAACTGTAGATCCAGTACCTCAATGCTGGTAGTTTGTGCAAAGTAATCCAGGCATGTTGTTTTCCCACTTGCAATGTTCCCCTCGACGCATATCTGATGAAAAACAGAGTCATTGTGAGAACAGTGTGTGTGAAAATGTACCCTTCCCATGGCACCAGGCTGGTTCCTTACACTGTGATGAGATTATTTCCCAGGAAGGATTGCTTAAACCTTAAGAGGCACTACATTTTTATTTTCAGAAACTTGAACAACTAAAATAAACTAAGAGAATTTTTTTTCAGCTGTCTTAAAATAATTTATAGCTTCAAGTGATTAAGTTCCAAATAAAAAAAAAAACAAAACATCACCTGCCAGGGAGGGATGCATAGGGCAATGGCTGCACATGCAACACTGACCCCAAACTGTCACCTGTCCCAACACAATCCCTCACCGTTTTATCCCTCACAATTTTTGCACAAATCCCTCACAATTTTATTGGAATTTACAGAACCAGACAAGCGTAGCCTTGCACTGACCCAGTGCCAGACCCAGCAGCACACAGTGACACAGGCACAGCCAACAGCTGCATATGCTCAAATTATAATAAAATTATAATGAAAGAGGCTGCACGTTTTACTTCATTTTCTGAACAAAATGCAAATACTTACAACTCTCTTTCTATCATCTTTCTTTATCAGAAGTTTATCTAGAATGGAAATAAACAACAGTTACAATCAAGGAGGTCTTCATAACTTAGTTATACTGAACCTCTTAAGTGAGCCTCTCCATGAAGTTTTTAGGTTCTCTGTTGCTTAATATGCCTATTTGCTAAATTACCAACCTCAAAGGTTTTAGGTCATTATTGGGCCATGCACTAGACACGTTTTGGCACAGACTGACACAGTTCTAGCTGAAGTTCACCACTGCTAACACTACTGAGAGTGGAACGGTGAGTGCCCACATTCCCACCAGGTTTTTGTTGTTCCTGCTGCTCCTCGGCTGGCACTGGGAAAAAGTGAATTTCGGGAAGGCCAGTCAGGGAGCAGTCCCTGCTGGGTCCACAGGCAGGGGAAGGGTGAAGGCTCCAAGACAAGCAGTTCAGGCGCCTTACACCTCACAACTGCGG